CTCTAGCGGAAGCTGTTTGCTGTTTATCACGTTTCAATTGAGACTGTTAACTGTACAATTTAGTTTCTATGCATTTTGTACTCTATCGACGAAGAATAGCATTAAAGCTTGCTATTTTTCTCATTTAGATGATTTATGATGCAAATTATTTGAACTACACTCCCCATCATTCTCTGTTGCAATGATAAAATATATATGCATTACATTAAATTACTTTAGATGCATCTTATTGCTTCATTTTAACTAGGAAGTGAAAAACGAATTTTTTTTGCACATCTAAGTCCGACCAAAATCACATCGAGTTACGATTTCTGAACTAGGAAGTTGTGTCGCTTCCTTAAAGTGCCCCTATTATGCTATTTTAAAGGTTCCTACTTTGTTTTGGAGTCTTCTACAATAGGTTTACATGCATCCAAAGTCAAAAAACACTTTTGCTCATAATATCCATTGCACATCACCTCATTTTTCAAAGAGTCTGAAAACGGTCCATTCAAAGATTCAGTCTCTCTAACTTAGCCCCTCCTTTCCACGAGCTTGCTGTGCTCTGATTGGTCAGATGGCCCAGTCAGTTGTGATTGGCTTACTCTGTAACTGGCTTACTTTGCTCTGATTGGGCAGATGCCCCAGTCAGTTGTGATTGGCTAAACAAACATCCCATGCAAAAAGGTACATGGAACTGCATGGGGAAATACAGTTTAACATGTTACTATTAACATATTTAAATGTATATTACCTGAAAGGTAAATTTAGATCATATTTGAGTCAAGTCAAGTCACCTTCATTTATAAAGCGTTTTTAACAGTATGGATTATTTCAAAGCAGCTTTACAGTTAGAAATTACCGTAACAGATTGTTTAGGCTTTACAACAGCATTAGGATAAAGTGATTGTCCAGCTAAAGTTAGTTTTGATTGATTCACTTCCGTTGCGAAGATCAGTTATTAACTTAGGAGCCGCGAACACGACACCGTTCTAACAGAAAACCCTTAACTCTTTACCAATCCAATCAGGTTGAATATACTCACAGAGATTATGTTTGTTTTGCACATGTTCATAAATAGTAAATCTACTTTTTCTCTGCATACATGCATGTGTACAGTATATTTTAATGGCTGTATTTGTGTACTGATATTGGCCTCTTTGCTGGCAGATGTCTGCAGGTTAAGACTTACTGAGCGGCGGCTCTATTAAGCTTTTAAAAGCACCAATTTTCTATGTGTGTGTGTGTGTGTGTGCGCGTGCAGGGGTAAACGGCACATTTTGTAATAAGGCTGGCACTTCAAAAGGACTGTTTGAACCCTGTGGAATGGCCTCGCCTCGCTTCCATTCATAGTCTAACAATATCACCTTTTTGTGCCGAGACGAGGACGGAGCCTGACAGCCCAGGCGAGCACAGAGATTTAAGATCAAACAGCTGGAAAATGAAGCCAATGAAGAATAAAGTTGCAGATTGAAATGTACTGAATACATTTAGCTGCTCAAGAAATTCGATAGTCAAGCTGAAAAACAAACCAACCAAGATAAATGTGCTAAACATAGAGAACTTCTAGCGATATGTTTAATATTATGATATTTCCAGAAAGCCAATAAAGTTGCATTGAATAAATTTCGCTTCATTATTCAAGAATATTCAGTTTAAACTGGAACAGGCTTAACAGGTAAATGTACGTTTTTGGTTTACATGCATTTTAACAATTTTAAACAAACATCTTTTGTTTCTCTTACAATTAAGTAGTGGTATTATATTATAGTGCTTTGCAATCTGCCATGGGGTGTTTGTGTGTGTATATATATATAGTATATTTTGAGTTGGACATGTTTTTCATGAGATTCACTCAGAAACACTATTAAAATTAACAAGCCACAGATTTCTGATTTAAACATTGTTCCGTTTCAGCAGATGAATGCAAATTGTGCAAAAATACACAGATGTCTTGAGCTAGAATTTAGTTACGTAGAAGAGACAGATGGTGATGCAGATATTATATTTACTGCTTATATTCAGTCACTGTTATCACTGACTGAATCGGTTGTAATGCACGAGCGCAACACAGATAAATACAGTTTGATGTCATGCATCATTCCTGTTTAATGCGCTCAGAAACACTTAAACACTTCAAATGGGAAGCAGCAGATTCTAACCTCTCCATTCCAGACCATGATGACACAGTTACTGGAGATTTTCTGACTAATTAATCAGGATTAACTACCTAATAGGATTTGTTCGAGATAGCATCTAACAATCAAGATAATATGGAGAAGGTAAAACTGCTGTGTGTAACCTAGATATGAATAACTCCTGAGCTCCAGCGCTGGCTGAAGAGATAACGGCAGATAACTGTACACCAGTGTCAGAGGCTCAGATCGTTCCCTTCTGTTTGAGGTTTAGCTAATTAGCTCTGAAACTCCAGTTAGATATTTTCTCAAAGCTTCCGACTGCTGAAATCACCAAAATGTAAGGCAAGCTCAAAGAGGCCATATGATGCCATTTTAAAAGGTCATTATTTGTTTATTGGGTTTAATAGAATAGGTTAGCATGCTTTAAAATTATTTTTCACATACTGTATTATTGCAGCACTTCTATTCCCAGTCTGTCTGAAACGAACTTGAGTTCTGGTCTGGATTGTACAAAGCCCCTCCTTCTGAAAAGCCAGTGCTCTGATTGGGCAGCAGATCCGGTGCGTTGTGATTGGCTAAAAACCTCAAGTGTGTGTTGGAAATGTAACGGCCCTTACCATAATTGCGAGCTTCATCTTCCAAGGCTTCTAGAGCAATTGCAAACACAAACAGTTGATACGTTCATGCCCAAGTCAGATTCTGAAAATGCAGTAATATTTTGTTTATGCTTTGCTGGCCTCAGATATTGCACTGACACCTATTGATGTGGATGCAGAACGAAGCAAACATTTTCACCTGGATTTAGCCAAAATTTGATAGATCTCAAGAGAATGGACAAACCCTATTTATTTGCCTAATTACATGTTTCTGGTCTTAATAAACAGCCGATCTCGGAAGATAAGCATGGCTTGGCTTGATTAGTATTTGGTCAGATGGATGTTCCTGGTCACAATTTATCAAACCCTTCACCAACTGCAGAGCTCCAACCAATTCCTGAAGGATAAAATCCTGTCCTTTCTTTTTGTCACTTTTTGGAATTCCGTCACATTATAGAATGTTGTGAGAGTTCTAATTACATTTCCTGTCCACTTTTGAGCTACAAACACAGGATTTCCCACATTTCTAAGAAAGCAGAGTCTAAGGGCCAATCCCAATTCTACCCCTTACCCTGTCGGTAGGGCTGTCTCAATTCTCTTTTGGTTGGAGGGGTAGGGGTAAGGGGAAGGGCCAGATAGTCTTTCAAACGAAGCTTTTTCGGGACCACACTTCAAACGAAGGGGTATGAGAAGCGTCACTGCATACACCGGCTACAGACGCAAAAATGGCTGCCCACGCAAAAATATTTACATTTTTAACGACAAATAATGATTTCCTTTATGTTACATTCAATCTTGTGTTCATATTTACGGTCAGTTTCTTCAAAGAAATGTTTGTAAAAAAAAAAAACATCGCTGAAGTTTGCTAACGATAGTCCCGGAACATATTTTCATGTCAACTGGTGAATGTAATTGCGGAAGGGAATTGGCTTATATTTTACAGTAGGTACATCTGCTATGAACGCATTGTTTTTTTGTGGTTATATGTGAACACGATATAAACGAACAGTGCTTACAGTTTCGTGCTTTTTGCAATATGATCAGATCAACCAGTCTTGTATGGTCTTTATCAAACAGGGACACCTGAGGAAACCCGGAGGATAATTCGTTTTCGCGTTGACAACGAGCAACATTTCCTTAAGTCCAAATACAAGGCAAAACAACTTTGGGAGTGAGTCTGTTAAACGCTACTGTGCTTCACAAGACAAATGCAAAAAAAATAGCTGTAACCCATGCAACTGAGATGACTGCAGCTGTCGACAGCATCTTGGAAGTTTGTGATAAACATCGGCGCATCTCCTGTGACGTAGGCGCTAGCGACGACGTATAATGACGTGTAACCGTGTAGTAGTGGTGTCCCATTTCTTAGGGGAATATTTTCACCCCTTCGCCTTGCCACTCTGTTTCAAGGGTCAAGGGTCAAGGGGAAGGGGAAGGGTTAGGGGTAGACGAAGGGGAAAGGGGTAGAATTGGGATTGGGCCTAAGTATCGATAATCGAGGTGCTTGGACTTGTGTGACGTCCTGTCCAGCTGAAAGCATCTATCTTTCATCAGATTCATTATTATGCATTCCATCACTGCTTTCCTGCTTACTTCTACAGGCAATAACAAACAGGCACTCCAGAACACACACATACACACAAAACAGAATCAAATCAAAGGGAGACAACACAGATAGGACATGCGGCTTACAGAGGACACACACACAAAGATAAAAAGAAAAAACAAACAAGGATCAATGACGTGATGCTCAGTTTATTTGTTTTGTGTCCAGAACTGAGCAACTTATTCAAAAGTGCAAATATAAAAATAATTCATTACAAAATTTCTAAGAATAATAAAATTAAATTTGTATATTTTTGCTAAAATAAAACATTTCTTAGGTAACTGTCCCAAGATTGCAATAACATGATTATAAGGCTTATTTATAGGGTGATATTCTTGTAAAAAAAAAGAAGCGTTTGAAAAAATCAAAACCTTAAAAATACAATAATAAAGCAGATTTTTTTAATATATAAAAAGCCATTTTGTTGTCATGTGACAAAAACCATGAGCAAAGAATGCATTTCTGAATATATATTTTTTTCTTTTCATCATCTCAGTTCCATCATCTATTTGTCATTGACCCGTACATGGAAATACAACACAAACAGAAACGATGTGAACTTACATGGAACCTTTCTTGTCCAAGACAATGAAGAACACATGACTACACACAGCCACACACACGTCACAGTGTTTTGCGTGAACACACACACACACCGGCAGCAGTCTGCCCGTCTCTCACCTTTCTTGGGTGGACAGGTGGTGTTGACCACTGGAGAAAAACGCACACAACACATGACTTTAGAAAACATCATCATGCAACATTCATCTACACCAGCGGTGTCCAATCCTGCTCCTGGAGGGCCACAGTCCTGCATAATTCAGCTCCGAACACAGTTAATCTCACCTGAACCAGATACTCAAGGGCTGTGTCCAAAATCCCCATTCCCTGCATTAGTCCACTTATATAGTTCACTTGAGGGAGTGAATGAAAACGAGCGAGTGAATTCGGACACTGAACTGCTTGCTGTTTAATAATCATTTGAAGCTTAGTAAACTGGCAGCTCTAGTAGTGATGAAGAGATTTATCTCGAACTCTATCATGGAAACTATGTATAAATCTTAATTAATCTTTTTTTTTTTGTGTGATTTAGTGTTTTTTTATTTTTGAGAAAGCATATAGAATATTTAGCAATAAAAGAAAAAAAAAACTTATTCGACTACTATTGCCCCTCTAACCTATCCCTTTAAATAAACAATTTAATAATTTATTAAAAAGGAATTTATACCTGTATATTACGCTCTAGCCACATTGGACCAGAGGTTTGAAAAATGGATGATTCAGTGCGGGCGCCATCTTCTGGTTCAGCGCGTGACTTTCACAGTGCATTATGGGTATTCTCTAGCCATTGAGCGTACATAGGCCCTGTCCCAAATGGCACACTCCGGACTTGCGGACTTCCTCAGAGTCCACACTTCGGTGACGTCATGTAGTGCAGACCTATAGGGCCCTTAGCGCGAGTCCGCGAGGGCGCATTGAGAGGTATTTTTGGGACAGACTCGACCGTCACGGCGGAAACAGGAAGACGGTCGGATTGTTGTTATGGACAGGAGCTACAGGTTCGGGGAAATATGCTGCCTATTGTTGTTGTGTTTACATATGACTCAGTAAAGCCCTGACATTCTGTTCTATTCATTTAATGAATCATAATTTAATGATCGTATTATTCAGCTCGCTATTATTAGCCTATATGTTTGAGACATCAACCACTTGTCGATGATCATAATGTTTGTATAAACTTGTCATAAAAACCGAAATGATAAAATTTTCTTCTCAGCCATGTTAACAATTGTCTGTGAGCGAAATCTCCTCCCATCCGTTGTCTGATTGGCCTTTCGCAAGGATTCCTGGGTAACTACCCAGGAATCCTGCATCTATGCGGGGTTTGTGGAAGACCGCTTCAAGGTTACACAGGGGGCGCTGCTGAGCACACTTCAGAGCGTAAAAATGCTAAATGGGACGGCCTACGGACTCGTAGACTCGCGAGCACGCGCAATTTAAGTCCACGAGACCAAAAGCCCACATGAAGTGCGTCATTTGGGACAGGGCCATAGGTTGTACACTCGTCATTGCAGTGCATTGTGGGATTGAATGAGTGCACTTGAAAATGTCCACGATGGTTTCGTACACCACTATAAATGGCTGTTCCCTCAAATAGTGCCCTGTTTAAAGGTATAGGGGGTGATTTAGGACACAGCCCAGGTCTCATAGGGATACTAGAAACTTCCAGGTCGGTGTTGAGGCAAGTCGGAGCTGAACTCTGCAGGACAGTGGCCCTCCAGGAGCAGGTTTGGACACCCCTGCTCGACACACATCAATCAAAAGACAAAACAATTATTATGGAAATAAAGACACACATTACTGTTAAATCATAAGGCTTTTTTGTATAGGGCTGAAATGACTAGCACCTATTCCCCAAATGTAGGCCTATGTGATAGACCATATACATCTGAATGACAGGGTTATGACCTGTGAATTTTTTATAATTATATTATAATGCATGTAAATTAATAAACGGACAACATAAGCAAACATCAACAGAGTTTAAACAGACATGTGCAAATCAAATATAAAGACACTTGCATGCTAAAAAAAATGGGAAAGTAGGCTAATATGTGTTCAATTTACCTAAATTACAAATGTCAACAATAAAGTGTATTTGCATTATAATTTTCAACAACAAAACTATCAGTGTGCTTGCATGTGCTCGCTGAAAAAGAGTGCTGGAGATGATTTATGCATATTAATGCACATATTAATGATCACACATCTGTATTAATCATTAAATCATTAAATACAAACGACAGAGGAGAAATGTCTTCCATCTCATGTGAGAAGGAACCATCATTTGGACCAATCAGGTAGCAATCAGCAAAAAGTAAATGAATTAATTTACTTCTACACATCTAAAAACACACAAAAATTTAGACGAATTGCTGAATTGGTGTTTCGAAACAATTATTTGAAACAGTGTTATAGTTAACTAAATCTAAAAGCATTAAAATTGGTTTTCGGTATTCGAAATAAAGTTGAAAAACGATATAAATATATTCGATGAAAAGCGAAAAGTACTTAAATGATTAAAAATAGACTAAAACTGAAATAAAAAATAAACGAAAGCTAAATAGAAATATAAAAAACAAATAAACGTGACAAAATTGCATACAATTGCTAAAACTTTTTTTTTTTTTTACTTGTCTGAAAAAGGTTTAAATCGAAGTACTAAAATGACTAAAACTGAAAATATTATTAAATAGAAGTATAAACCAACTAACAACTAATAAACATGACAAAAGCACAAAGAAATGACTAAAACATCAACTATAATTGAAATAATTTAAATACTGCATTTAAAATGATTGGTGGAAATTAACTAGTAGGACAAAACTAGTGCGTTTGTCTGGTCTTTATATAACATATAATTAGTCAAACAAAAAAAATTTCATTTCCCAAATTAATTGGGATATTTGCAGTGTCGCTAAAATCATCACTACGGTCTTAAATATTGGCTGTATCACCCAGCTTAACACACTTTCAAAAGTGCCACAGAGTTGAAGTTCCCGGTGATTCAGAGCGGCTTTATCTCAGACATCCTCAGAGAACATCACTCAGCTCTAGTACACACTTCAGATCCTCCGTCCCTCCTGCAGTCTGGCCTGACCGTTCTCAATATTCACTAGGGTCTTTGAGGTAATCAAGCGGCTCTCAGAAGCTGGGCTTATCTCCACAGTCCTGGTCTCATTCTCTCATTCTCTCGTTCACTCAGCAGCAGCAGGTAATGATAAAGGGAGCCGTCGCTGCTGTGTGTGTGTGTGTGTGTGAATGAACTCGAGTGCTCACATTAAACTGAGCCGCTACCTCCTGCCAATACCTGAAGCCTCTTTTAAGGCAGATCTATTGTTTCAGCTCAGAGTCAGAGTCAGAGACAGTGACAGAGGTCTTTCTTTGTGCCTTCACACAATGAAGTGGTGTTTAGCCTAAGCGACTGCCAGCACACGGAAAACACTATAAACCTGCCATCCTTTCTCAAGACGCCGCGTGAAGCATGTCATTTCTGTGCTACTAGCCAGAACCGGTAGTCCCAGGCCAAACTCATGCTGTGGTCGAGCCAGGAAATGACATATCAGTCGTGGAGAAGTGTGTTATTACTGTTCCAGACGAGCAGATTTACGAGTTTCACCTGGTGAACGATAAAACAGGTGAAAATAATCACACAGACTATTGTCTGGACTATTGAAGGAGGGAACCGAGACATACAGAAGAGAAGATCAGAGACTCTTCTGAGACACACATACACACACACAGACACAGATACGCACACACACACACACACACACACACACACACATGCACGCACACTCAGAAACACAGACACAGACACACACACAAACACACACACACACACACACACACACACACAGAAACACAGACACACACACAGAAACACAGACACACATGCACGCACACTCAGAAACACAGACACACACACACACACACACACAGAAACACAGACACCCACAGACACACAGAACACACACACACACACAGAGAGAAACACATGCACGCACACTCAGAAACACAGACACACACACACACAGAAACACAGACACACACACACAGAAACACAGACACACACACACACAAACACAGACACACACACACACACTCAGAAACACAGACACACACACACACACACACACACACACACACACACACAGAGAAACACATGCACGCACACTCAGAAACACAGACAGACACACACACACACACACACACACACACAGAAACACAGACACACACACACACACGCACACACACACACACAGAAACACAGACACACACACATGCACGCACACTCAGACACACACACACACATGCACGCACACACACTCAGAAAGACAGACACACACGCACACACACACACACAGATACAGACACAGATACACACACACATATACGCACACTCAGACACACACACACACACACACATGCACGCACACACTTAGAAACACACACTCTCTCAATCTCACACACTCTCTCACTCACTGACTCAGAAACACAGACACACACACACACACACACACACACACACACACGCACAGAAACACAGACACAGACACACACAGGCACAGACAGACACACACACACACACACTTCCTCGCTCCACCATACATTCTATTTGCGTCACATCTAGTGACAAATGGGAAGGGCATTAACTTGTTGAAGCTGGAAAGCCGGAGCGATCCATCAGAATAATCCTGAAATACAAACACTCAGAGCAGCGGAGGATTGTATAAATCTTCCTCAGAGTCGAGCAACAGCCACAGAGAGAGAGAGAGAGTGTGTGTTTACCTTCGACAGACATGCAGCGCTGCATCACAGGTGAACTCATGCACTCTCTCACACACACACACACACACACACGTGAAATCCTGCGGGAGTTTGGCGTTCTCGTCCCGAGTGGAACGGCTCATCACGGCTTGTGTCGAGATGCTAAACCAAGACTTGTAAAACACTCACAAGTTCCACATCGGCTGCTACTGACGTTAAGCTTCAAGTATCATGCATATGCATCATGGTTGCAAAAATAAAGTATTGTAAAAGACAAAGCTTAATTTAATAGAAAAAAACAATGTACTGTAAACAAACCCCAATCATTTTTACTGGTAACCTTTTTTTCTCTGTGACAGATTTTGGCAGCAATTAATTTG